GGCCACCCACTGCCCTCAGGACTATCTGCCACTTAGGGAGGTAAAGAAACACTTAGAAGCCGGAGGAAATCGGTGCAAAGTAGGGCGAGGGATGGGAGGGGATGGAGCACGGCCGGGCGCCTCCTCCCACCGTTGTGGGGAGCCAGGAGCGGGAGGAAAATCGGAGTAGATTGGAGGAGCTGGTGATAAACTTCTGTTTGCTGCATGAAGTTTTTAAAGGAAGCTGTGCCTGTCTCTAACATCTGGATACCTGTGCTCAAAAGCTCCCATTCCCACACCTCCTCTTCTCTCAGATACCAAGTATCTTCTTGAGTATCTTCTCTCAGATACTCACAGATACCAAGTCCAGATACCAGAAGACACCAGAAAAGAGCGGTGTGATCACTCAGCCTGGAAACCCAGCCCAGCGATTCCTCCATCAAGCCCGTAAATCCTTGGAGCTGTAGCAGCCATCTCCCGAAGGCACAGCCTTGAGCCTTTGGTCTAGTGGAGGCAAAGACGTGGATGCTCTGGGGAGGCACCCAGTGCCCGTCACCCTGCCTCTGGGCTCAGGCAACTGCTGGCTCCTCACCACCTGCCGCCTTTCAAATTCCTTGTTCTTCCCTGCGGCATTTTCTCTCGTTTCACTGGTGTGTCTTTCTTTCCAGCAGATTTGTTTTCATCCGCGTCCTTTCCTTCTGCCAAGCCCCACAGCGCCCAGGTGTGGTGTTGCCTTTGGACAGGATCCAGATGCATGGAAAACTTGATGTTAAAGCAACAGCCTCTTGTCTTGGGCGTGCAACCCCACCATCCTCCTTTCCCCATCATCTGCCAAATCGAGTTTGTCTAATTATCAGTGTTAATTCCCTCTTTGCCTACTCATACCTCACCTGCAATCTTGCTTCTTTCTCAAGACACCACCATTTTCTTCCATTGAAGCATCCAATGGGGCTACTGTGGTCACCATCCCTTCTGCAGTCGTCTTGGTGTGACTCAAGTTACCTCCTTTGCTTACTCTTGCCCCTCTCTAACTTCCTTCTCCACTCAGATTGTTACTGCTTTCCCTTCCCTTACACTCCTCCATTCTGTTCTCCTTGACTTGGTAAAGCTCCAGTTGGTAAACAGCCCAGTTTTCCATCTCTCTGCCTCCATCTTCACCTCTCAGCCCTAATGAATGATTTTTTTCCTTCTTTTTCCTAATGCTCTTTTCTTCAGTTTGGCTGTATGGAACTCATCAGATCCAATTAGCGTTTTAATTCAGCAATCTGGTGATTTGAGGGCTGAGGGATAAGCTCTTTTGAAGCCAGTCCCTTCTTCCAAGTTGACTTTCTAGGTCAGTTGGAACAGCCAGCTCCAACTGCAGTGGTCAGGGTTGCCCCAGTGCTACAGGGACCTGGGAAAGTTGAATCCCTTAAATCAGTGGAGATCTCATCAACGTAGTTAAATGAAGTCTAGAGAGCCACTCAGCGACATTTAGGTGGCGTCGTGAAAAAAAACCTTGCTCGTTAAACTCCTAATATTCCTTTTATTTTATAAAAATTCCCTCTCAAAATTAAGGGAAATATAGCTTCTTGAACTGTTGATGCGTTTACTGCTGTAGAACTGGTTTAAGAGGTGTAGGGTTAGACCTGTATCAAATGGCTCGGTCGTTACCAACTTCAGGCATTCAAAAACCATCTCTCAGGCTTCAAAAATCTTAATAGTCATAAAGGGGGGGGAAAAAAAAAGCAGGGATTTTTTTTTTGTTTGAAAAAAATCCCTGTGCTTTTAAAATTCATGTCTTGGTGGAGATGAGGTCAGAACTTTTTGAGAAAAGAAGGAAAAGGAAGCAGAAATACTGGTTTATTGCTACACAGTCACTCTGTGGCAGTGTCTGATGGTAACGGTTTCAAGTACGGCAGCACTGCGAACTGTCCTGCTGCTGAGATAACGCTGTTGATGCTGAAAACAAAACCGGTAGCAAAATAAATAGCAGGAATTCTCGGCACTTGAAGAAGAGGGAGGGAGGAAGGGCAGAGTGCTGCCGGAGGCGTAGTAGAGCCCTGAGTAAGGTTACTCTCCCGTCGACAGCGTTTTGCCCCGGTTCCGTGTTGCGGGACGTTAGGAGTTGCGGTGCGATGTATCCCCCACGTGCAGCTTGTCGGGACGCTCTGTCAACCAGATCAAGGAAATGCTCTGGAGAAAAAAAAAAAAAACAACTCACAAAATAGGCAACTTAAAAAAAGCTGGATTTGTCCCCTAATCTGGGTCCCAGTGTGGGAATATCCCAAAACCAGTAACTGCGCTGAAACCAGTACGGCGAATCCGCGCCCAGCGCTCGCAGCTGCGAGGAGGAGCACTTGTCCGAGTTGAGACATCACCAGCACAGATATCTTCATCTGAGCTGCGTCCCTGGGCTCCTTTGATAGTCAGCAGGGATGGACGGGCAGCGTTGGGGATGTTTCACGTGAGCACCCACAAGCATCTGTCTGGGGAGGAGAATAAAACCCCTTAAAAAGGCTCATTTCTCTGCGCCGGGCTGCAGAGGCCCATCTGGAGGTACCACGTTGGGTGTGATGAATCCCACCTGACTCCGTTACGTGTTTGTGCAGCACCAGCGTTGTAGATCCCAGATCTGTGACTCAGGCTGTAGGCAGGGTGATGATAATAATAATACTCCTGCGGTTGTTTTCTTAGGGATGAATTTGCCTCGACAGTCGGTGTTCTTTGGCCGGCCCCTAGGAATTAAACTCATTAAGCTCTCCTTGTTGATGGCCCTTTTGCTTACGGTGGCCTGGGATTGAGGTTCCTGCTCGTTCCTGGATGCTCTCCTTGACCTGTTTACCCTCATCCCACTTTGTGACCTGCGGGCAAGAGTTCACAGATTGGCTAAAGCAATTTCAAAACTGTAAAAAACAAACCCTCATTAGTGTCCTAAATCTAGTCCTTGTGTTGGGAATTTGGGAGATTGGATTTAAATCTATAGCAACATTTAATTTCATATTCACAGCGGGGTGGTTGCTGTAAGTGGAGGAGCGAGTTCATCTGCAGCACCAAATTGAATCTGAAAGTAAAATGCTTTTATTACCGCTAGCCTCACAGCAGTGTCTCTCCCGGGCTCGGCTGCATCTTTTCTGTTTCAAAAGCTGCTGCTCTTCCACTTTGTGGTCAAATCCTTCCATCAAACCGACAATCAGAGGCTGGAAACCCAACAAAATTGGTCATCTACACAGATGAGCCATATCCAGGCTATAAATAACCCAAATCCATGGGGCAGCACCAGCAAAACCAGGCTTAAGACTGTCTTAGCTTTACTCTTAAAGCCACCAGGTTTAGACTGCTTTACAGTTTCTGGAGGCATTCAGATTTTGTAAATATGCATCCTAGAACTTGCAAAATGTAAAAAAAGTAATAATAAAATCATTCAGTCATTTTTGAAGGGGAAGAAGATTAAGACAAAACCCTCATTCTTTCCCCGACTAAGAAGAACCACCGTGGCTCTCTTGGGCTCGGCGCTGGAGTTGCGGTGGCCGAGGAGAGGAGGAAGGGTTCCTGCTGTAAGCTTCGTGGGGCTCTGGAAATGCTCCACGGGTTTTGAAAGCCCCCACTCCGCTTATGCAGGGCTTACCCAGCAGTTGTGCTTCTCAACATCTTCCTCTCAGCCTCCAAAAAGACGAGATGCACTGCGGATGCATGTATAATGTAACAGCTTGCAAAGTATGTTCTCCTATGCTTTTCTTTTCTTTTTTTCTTTTTTTTTTTTTTTTTTTTTAAAGCCCCCAAGTCAGTATTTGCTGGCAGGTTTTTGGCTTTGGCTGATTTTTTTTTTTTTTTTAAATTTTGCTGCATTTTTGGCTGAAAACTTTTTGGCCAGGCATTGCTAAAGACTTCCATTTTCGGCCTAAAATTCCCAGTTTGGGGCTGTTGGGGTTTGTTTGCACGTTTGGGGTTTTTTGGATGAAAAAGAGAAAATATTGTGAGGGAGAGTAATTTGAAGACAGAAGTCATTCCCTGCGAATAGGTTTGTTTAATTAATCATCCCAGTTCTGCTTGAAACAAATTTTGATGGAGATTCTCCGACTATCACTACCATGCAACCACGCAGAGGCTGACGAGGCAACGACTGTCCTCCGTGCTGTTTATATTAACATACGCAACGATTTAGATCCCTGCAAAACTGTGGAGAGCTCTGCATTATTCAAGTGTTGGAGGAGGCAACAAAAAAATGATCCATGGTTATAAGAAACTGCCTGCTATCTCTTGTTTCTAATAATAGCTCCTTTGTAGCTTAAATGTTTGCATTGGAGTGGGGTGGTTTGCACAGACCCTGGGAAGAGGAATGGATTGTGTTGGGCCACTAATATTTGGCTTTTTGTTAGCTGGGTGAGGACTCCAGCCCCGACGAGTTTTTGCTGGATGGGGAAAATGCCAGTGAACTGGGTAAAAACGCAGCTAAGGGCATTTCCAGAAGGACTGAATGGCTTTGCAGTGGTTTCTAGCTTGTCTTTTAGTTAGAAAGGGTTTAAACCCAATGGTTAGGTTCAACCCTTCATTTAAACCCAACTATCGGATTCAACTCAATGGTTGGGTTCAACCCTTCGTATAAACCCAACGGTTGGGTTCAACTCAACGGATTGGTTCAACCCTTCATTTAAACCCAACGGTTGGGCTCAACTCAACGAATTGGTTCAACCCTTCATTTAAACCCAACTATCGGATTCAACTCAATGGTTGGGTTCAACCCTTCGTATAAACCCAACGGTTGGGTTCAACTCAACGGATTGGTTCAACCCTTCATTTAAACCCAACGGTTGGGTTCAACCCTTCATTGTATAACAGATTGAATCCAACACAGCTAAACCCTTCAGTGGGGGGAGGGATCTAGTTCTCAAACACTTCTGCACGGGAAGAGACTCCAGTCTGTCCCCCTGCAGAGCTCTGCTGCTGTCTGCAAGCTGTGGCATCTGCCCTGCCCCTTGTAGCTAAATGTTTCTGCTTCTCTGTTTTGTTTTTGTTTTTGTTTTGTTTTTTTCTATTCGAAGGTGGGCCTTAATGTTCTGGTTCAGAGAGCAAACAAGTTTACCCCCGCCACTCGTCTCTTGATCCAGAGGTTTGTGCCATTCCCTGCTGTCGGTAAGAAATAACACCTTTTCTCTATATTTAAAGTGTTGGCTGTAAACCTTCCGGTGGCTAAAAGCCTCTGGGATGGACACCTGACTCCTGCCTTCCTGCTTTACACCATCACTGCTGAGTCCCCTCGGTGCTGGGTCCCTGAGTCGGTGCAGGCAGTGACAGGATGGTGCAAAGCGGCGTTTTGGCAGGAAAACGATGCAAAGCTGCAGGCAGCGGCAGCTCACAAGGCTTTATCAAGCTGCACTTTCCACTCTCGAGGAGTTTATAAAATGATCAGTGTTGACTGCTCCTCGACCATCCAAATTCGAGAGCGTTTAATTTGCAAGATCTGGTTTGAATCATGTCAAACCAAAGCTTCAAATAAGCGGTAGTGTTGGGGTTTTTTATAATAAAAATGCAATGCAGTGTTCCTACTCTGAATATACAGATTTCTAAGAGCCACTGATTAAAAAAAGACTTAAGCGTGTGAAGAATTAAGGCTGCTGCTGGCATGTTGTTGCACAAAATAAACTCTTCTGCATTTTATCAGCTAGCTGCTCGGTGTTTGAGGGAAGGGACGTGCTGGACTCAGCCTTTGCTGAAGCCCATGGTTACAACATTTAGCAAACGATGAGTTATTTTGGCTGTGAAGAAATCACCAGTGGCGTTAGGGTAATTGTTCATATAAGCTTATTTATTTATAAAGATGGGGCAAAAATTGTCCAAGCATGGAGGAAATCAGTAAGCAAAGGGGTTTTGCTCGCTGCTGCAGGTCCTTTTTCAGCTGTGTTAATGCAAAACTTTCCTTTAAGCTTTTTCCTTTGCTGCGCAAGCGCCATGTCTTCAGAGCTTTGCTCGAGGATGCCGAGCCTCTTTACCTAGCTGTTGCTCTCGCAGTTTCTCTGGTCTTTCTGCTCCTTTTTTTTACAGAGCGCTGGTTGCTCCAACGCTCCAGCCTTCAGTTCTTGAGTTATTGGGGTTTTTTTCCCCTGTTTTCTGCCAGAAAAACAGATACTTGTCCTTCCTGCAGAGCAGACGAGGGTCTGTAGGTTCCACTCGATCCTGTTTCTGAGCACTTTGTTTGTACAGAGGGGATCCATGGACGTTGTTACTATTTTCCTGGAACTTTCCTGGAATATGTTTTTAGAGGGTTTCAGCTTTCTTTTGATTTTTATGACCAGGAGGGCACTAGAGGTGAGTGCAAGACCCAGGAGGCAGCTCCGAGGCTGGCTTTGAGTCAGAGATGCACGTGGGAAGTCGTTGCCGCCGGGTTGCTCTATTTTCATACCAAGGTGTAAGGAGAAAGAGGTCACGCTTGTGTCAGCATTGATGGAAGACCCATAATTAAATTGTTTAGCCCGTAATTAATTCTCTAGTTCTTATTTTATTTGTGTACTGTCATGCTTCATTATGTGCCAGGACATCAGGAATCCTCCCACTAATTGCTGTTTTGTGGTTTTGAAAGCTGCGAGTTACTGGTTTGCAGACCTGGGCAAACTGCTTAATTAAGACGCGTCTTCCCGTTGCTTTTGAACCGCCAGCCCCCAGAAAAAGGGTAGAATTTCACCATTTCTACGTGAAAAGCCAGATGCTGCTGTAAAGCTCTTGCTCCACTACCATTAAGCAGTTTTTCCCTTGCCCTTCCTTGCCTCCCTCTCCCACCGACCTCGGCTGAGCTGTGCTGGTTGAGAGCAGCTGGAAAACTGGAGGGACGCATCAAAGCTTTGTGGTCTCTCATCCCAAGGGGTCGTGTGAGATGGAGACTTGGGGAAGTGCAGCTACTGCTCAGGTGAAAGACGGCCAGAGTGCCAGCAGGGATGTCAATAAAGAGTCTTGCAAAGCCTTGGGAAGCTGAGGTAGGCACTGGGAAAACTGGTCTATGGGTCTTACTGCCCTCAGAGATGCTCCACGTGTTGTGTCTGTCTTCTCTGGGTCATGTAACAGTTGTCTTTGCCCGATAAACTAAACCATATGCTGCCTGTAGGGCACATTTAGCATAAGTAGTTCCTCCTTGAAATCCACTTTCACCATGGGACCCCGAGATGAGTGCAGGGCTCAGTAGGGATGTATCTGCTGGGGCCTCCAGACCTCACTCGTGATAGCACAGACTGCGGGCAGTTAGGAAAGCACCCTGGCAGCTGGTGCAGGCTCTGATTGCTCCGATCCCCACATCACAGCTGGTGGCACTGGAGCAGGGTGCCAGGAGGTCAGGCTGTGCCCTCACCCTCCACCAAAAGTAATTTGCAGTAGCTGAAAATCACAAGTTGTCCAAAAAATCCTCCCCAGCCCCAGGGGACGGATCCAGGAAACCAACCCAGGTGGAACAGCTCATGGAAATGGCCAAGGCTCTGCATAGCCCATGGCTGGCTTGATGTAAAAGGGGTCTGTGCTTGATGTTGGCCACCCTGAAGCATCATCTGGGTAGTGAAGTTGTTCTCCATGAAGGTTTTCAGTGCAGGAGAAGGGAAGGAGTATGTTAGTGCTGTGTTGTGGAGAGCCATGATTCCCAAATTTGAGCAAGAAGGGGCTTGACCCTTTCTTGGAGATGTAGGTGATGAAGTATATCAATGCCCAGGGTTATTGCAAGGAACCCAATTTACCCGCTTCGTCCCAAGCACTGGGTGTGGATAGCTGTCACGAAGGTAAGGGGCGTCGCTGGCGATGGTGTGCTTTATACTGGAGATGTGTGTGGCTAAAAAACCTGCAGAAAAACCCAAAGGTTGCATCCCAAACCTGATCTGAAGGAAGTTAAAGCTGGTAGGAGGATACCCATTAGATGGAGGAGAGGAGGATGAAGGATTTCTTCTCCTTTGGCTTTTTTTTTTTTTTGTGTGTGTGGATGGGGTTAAAACTGTTAAATGTGTTTAGGTGGTGCACAAGGTCGTATTTAGCATGTGGAGAGCACCCCAGTTTAGAAAGTATATATATATAATATACACACATATAGAAGTAGGGTAGTGGGTTGCTTTTGTATCTGAACTCAGTTTCCAATATGTCACTGTTTTCACAGAAGTAGTTTCCAGGCTATATTACCACAATTTCTTTCCAAATTCTGAACATCGAATTGTCTACACATTTATTTACTTATTTCTCATTCCCCTCTGTGTTTGAGATGTCCATAAAATCCAAGTTTACCCATAATCAGCAGCATTTTGTGCTTTCTCGGAAAGCAGAACGGGAGCAGCTAAGACAGTTGCTTGTCTCAGATGAATGGGCTGGAATCAGGTTTTGAATTTGGGACTTGGTCAATGAAACCCTAAGGGGATCCATGAAACCCTTGGTCAATGAAACCCTAATGGAGAAGCATCTAGCTGTGGTGGGAACTTCAGGTCTGGACACCCCATCATGAGTCTCCCAAAAACCTTGTGCTGATGCATCCTGGCTTGGCCTGAGCATCTCTGATTTTCTATGTTCAGTCTTGACTGAAAGATCGAAGGACAGTGCATGTGAGTGTTAAAAAAGAAAAAAAAAATAAAAAGAGGGGCTAAACTTGCTTTAAATGAAATGCCTGTTTTCTTTTTGATCTTGGATTAAGGAGCTGTTAGCTGTGGTAACACAGATATTTTGATAGATGGGAAGAGTGGTCCGGTAGTTTGAATATTAAAGAGAGAGACAGAGTGTGCGTGTGTGTATGTTCCTCTTATTCCTGAGTGTAAGGAGCATTTGTCACCACAAATCATCTTTGATTGCAGAGAGCTGCATTCGTATAGGGCTCACCCACCCACCACCCTCAAAAAATTAGACATTTGTTATATGACATGAATTGAGATTAATTAGCGAATATTAACCCATCAAGCAGTACAGAAACACATTTTTGGAAGCGGTGGTACTTGCAGCAACAGTGGGTTTGTGTTAGTTCTGGTTGGAAAGTTTGCAACAAAAATGTGATAAGGAGGGGTTGCTGGAAAATGCCAGTTTATCAAAAACAAAACTTTTACAGGAATTAGTAGCTTTTATTTGGAAAAATTTAAGAAGTGCCTGTACCCTGGAGAGGAGCTGTACTTGCGAAGGATGTTTCTTAACCCCAATTCTAACACATTGCTTGAGGAGCAGAACTTGGGGGTCATCTCGAGAAGGCTACAAAAGCCCCAGGCTGGGCAAGGGGGGGTGTCAGAAAGGGTCCCAGACCTGCCCCCACCTCCACCGCGAATGCAGGGCTGTGGTTTGTGAGATGTCACTTGGGAACCAGAGTCCTCCAGAGCGCTGCTGGTTTGTGTCACTATTCGGAAAAATACTGTTAAAGCAAACAAGAGGGTCTCTAATAGAAAATAAGTCCACAGAGCCATTTTTTCCACCAAAACATGTGAAATAAGGGCAAATAGTCAGCAGGACCCCGCTTAATGGGATACATGTCCATGGGAACAGCCCAACCTTGTCTTATTTGATTAAAAAAATACAATTCTGTCCTCTTTAAGAGCTCAGATCTAAGCTGTCCTTCATAGCTCGGTGAAATCCCTCGCAGTGTATTTCCGTTACACCTGCTAAAACCTATTATTTAAGAAGAATTTGTCCGCTGGCTTAGTGAGGGCAGTTAAGACCATCTCTGGGATGTACCATCAGAAGAGGCAGCTGTCAATCAGCGGTGCCTGGTTGGCCAAGACCAACTGGCAGCCCAGTGCAAGGATGTGTTTTGACTTAGTGGATCGAAATGTCGGGCGAAGGATCACTGTGGGAGCTGGGAGCATGTGCGAACACCAACATCTGGAAATGCCGGTATTTCTTTGCATCGATATGTTTCTGATTGTGCCAGCAGATCCCTTTGCAAGTGAAAGAAAATGACTTGATTATTATTCTCCTCTTAAGAATCACACCTTTGTCTTGGTATAAGAGTGGCTCCTTGAGCCGCAGAAACTTCTTGGCAGATTGATGCAAGCAAAGCTGAAGGGCTGTCACGACAAACATTTGGTATTGACCAGGGCTGCGCTGCTAATCATCGTGCTTTTCTCATCCTCAGCTAGTGCCAATATCTGCAATGTTGTCCTGATGAGGCACACGGAGCTGGAAGAAGGAATTGATGTTTTGGACAGTAACGGAAACATTGTCGGGTCTTCCAGAATTGCTGCAAAACACGTATGTACCTGTGGTGGTCCTGGCGAACGCTCGGGTGAGCTTGTGCACAACGGGCCTTCGGGCTCTACGAATCCCACAGCCGTAGGAATCGATGACTTGAAAGAGCTAGAAATAGATGAGCTTTACCCATCATGCAGGAAAAACGAAGTGGTAAAACTCAATGGCTGCTTTATACCCAGGCATGCAGTTGCGTAGCCACGAAACCAAGCGTGCTGGTGGACACGGGCTCATGGCATCCAGGCAGATGCCTTGATGGCTTGGAAGGGCGCAGACTGACATCAGGAAGATCCTGTACGACTCTGATACATTCACAGCCTTAGGATTTCTTTGTGGAAACTTGTAAGCTGTTCATGTTGAATACGCAGGAAAGATAACTTACACCTTTTTCTAAATGAGGAAGACTTCATTTTCGAGCCGAGTAGCTTTTTAACCCTTGCCGTGTCAAAGCTGCATCACCAGTTGCCAACCAAAGCTTTGTGAGGGTAGCCAGATGTCTTCATCTTCGTCCTAACACCTGGTTTGTTTTCCCCTGTAACCTTCTACTCTCTGCCATCTGCCTGCAATTATTCCCTTTTCTTCCTTTCTTACATAGTTTTGTCTTCTGAGCATCATCTGATTGTCTGAGGCATGTTGTTTCCAAGTGGGCTTTAATCTGAAATGTAAAGCATGTACCGAAGCACACGCCCAGGCAGAGGAGTTAATAATATAATGCTTGGCATTTCTCTCGCTCCTTCTGTCCAAGGCTCTTAAGGCACTTCATAGACAGCAATTAATGTACAGATTTACAGTCCTCAGCAAGAAATGGGAGATCTCTAATACATCTCCATATTGTTGTTTAACAGGGAGCTTAAAACAATCTGTTGAAGGGCTTGGAGATACTTATTTGAGTCAGTTTTCCTCACTTACATTAACTAGCTTCAGGACGCAGCTTCCCCTCTCCATCCGAATGGTCGAGGGGAAGACAGACAACATAGCAAATAATATTAAACGTGAAGGTATTGTAAGTGTGATTTAAGTGGAGTTTGAACATCAAATTTGGGACTTCTGAGAACTTCTGCTCAGCTGCCATTTAATCCTGACATTTTTCCCTAGTACTAGGTTTTGTCATGTAAAATTTGGTAGATCCTTAGTGTGACATGTCTGCACCTCTCTGAGACCTTCCGTTTGGAAGGAGAGAGTGCTCCCAAGCCTGGCCGTGTGCATAAGTTTCAGCATTTCTATCCAAGATCTATGGTATCTTCTGCCTAGGTCTGCCAAAGCCCCACGTGTGGTCGCAGTGCTTGGGACATCCCAAGGGTGGGTGCTGGCAAAGGTGATTGGAAGAGGTACGTGAAAACACAGTGGTGCTTAAACACCTTGATAGAGCACCCGTGATCTTCTCTAGGTCTCATCTCAGGGTAATTTATATGTGTCATGCTCCCAAGCTGTTCTGATTGCTGCTTCCTGGTGAATCTTGCCAGGGAGAAAGCACCAGCGGAGGGACAACTGTAGCTCCACGGTTGGGTGTCTTCCTGGGAGAGGAGAGCCCTATGTGTTACGATGCTTTGCAGTCAACCACCAGCGATTAACAAACGGAAACGAGTCTTGGAGCAGACAATAAGGTGCTGTGTTCCCCCAGCACGTAACTGAAACTGAAACTCGGTTAAGGGAGGAAGAGTTGAAGCTTCTGCTCAGCCCATACGGAGATATGTCACCTTACAGCACCTTCCAGGCAGCTGTTTAGCTTCTCTTTCTTCCTCCAGGCAGCACTAACATGTTTGCGTAGGAGTGTGACAAGATGTTGGACCACTTTTGGTCACATAATGTGAAATCAGGGAAGCTATTAGATGTCTCTGTTTATTCCACTGGATTTGTGACCAAGCGTGGGCTCCAGCCCATCGTTTGTAGCCACAGAGCGAAAATAGGTTGTGTACAAATAGCTGACAGCGAAGTTGAAAGTGTGTGTTGATACATTCATTCATGTATGCGACAGAAGAAAGGCCAGCCAAACCATTTCCGTGCCCAGGCGTTGATTGCTCGGTGCAGGTACCTCCTGAGATTTGTTTTAAATGTCCTGGGTTTGTTTGTTTGTTTTTCCTTTTCAGGCACTGCTAGAAACGGCCCTGACTAGAGTGGTCCTGCCAATGCCTATACTGGTTCTACCTCCAATTATTATGTCCATACTGGAAAAGTAAGTGTTGGGTAATACGAAGGGGGGGACTTTTCGAGGGGATGGGAGAAAAGGTCGTCAGTAGGTGTTAATCATTGATATTTCTTAGCATTGGTGCATCAAAGACTTTTTTGGCTTATTAAAATATTCATGTTCCGTAATTTTCGACCATTGTTATAGGTTGTTAAAGTGTTATATTGATGTAGTTATATATTGATACAGTTATTTTAAATAATTTTTGGAGACCCCAGCAGTTTCAATAACCCTATTCCCTAGGTCAGTGTGAGCCAAACCTCTCAGAATTCAGTGGAAAAGTGTCCGTAAGTTTTCGGTCCTCCATTCAGACATTAGAGCTGCCGCATCGGGTCAGGCTAAAGGTCTTGGCTCGTGTTCGGCCAGCGATCAGGACCGTAGGGACTTGCTGACCACGCGCCCCATCCAGACCGCCGTGGCCACTGTTGGACTTGCTTGTGCCCTGTTTGAACTCACGTGTACTTTCTTTCGATAACACCCTGTGGCTTGGACTTCCCCAGAAAAATATATGCTTTGCGTACTCTGCAGAAATTTGCTTTCCGTCACTGTTTAAGCCGGAATCTCTCCTGGCAGATGTCTCCATGGAGCATCAGCGTTAGGAGAGTTGGCAGGAAAGGGCAGGGTTATTATTTCATGTCCAATTATCTCCTAGCAGAGTTCTTAACAGCAAAAAACCCCCAAACTGCCCTGTCCATTGGCTGTTCTCTCACCTTGCTTTCCAACACCTCTGCTTTTCCTTCTGCCCAGAGATGCTGTGAGCCTGTTTGGAGCTGTTGGGTGCCTACGGCTCCTTAGGACACCCGTGAGCGGCTCATTCGGTGTGAATGATCCCTGGGGTGGGGATCACCTTCCCAACCTCTGGAGACTGATTAGTGCATTGAAAGATGGGGTTGCTAAAGGGCTTGCTACCTTTGTCCAGACGGCCAAGCTGGAAGCGCTCTTTAAACAAATTTGTTGATAATGGCTGCTTTAAAGCACTCCACGCACAAAGTAAATAGCAATTAGTACGATTAGGGATTGACCCATAGCTTTGGTTAGCCTTGTTTACCCTTGTAGAAACACCCCTGGGCCATTTCCCTTAACGGAAGGGTCAGGGCTGCTTCTGTAAATTTGGAGCCTGATTTTTAACATCTAAATTTAAAAATGTAGATATAGGCTCATACCCCTCTAGCACCTGGAGGCTCTCACCACGCTCAATTTCTCCCATGGCCTGGGTGTGGGAAGAAACAGGGCAACAAACTTTGTTTTGGGAATTGTAAAGTAAGTTCTTTCAGCCCTTTTTGGCCAAAATATATTGTTTTCCTCTCTTTTTCAAAGGGACTGTAGTTCCCTGTGGCAGGGCACAGTCTTGGTGACACTTTCTGCAAGCCACCGTCTGGAGACGGCTGCTGGAGACACACAAGGACAAGGGGTAGATTCCAGTCCCCCTGATTTTGTGCAAAGCATTTGATTTTCCCTTCACGCTCCTCCTTGACAAAAACTCTGCAGCCTTTTTCCTGCTCCAAGACCCTGTGTCACCCACACGGTCCTCCAGCCCATGATCTACCCGCAGGAGAGGTGCTCAGGAGTGACCATGTCTTACTCTGGAGTACCTACCTTCCTCTGGAGTACCTTACTCAGGGCTTGCTCAAAGTTCTGTGTAAGAAGAACAGGGATTGTCACTTATCTTTGTACCCCGGCGTCTTGGCAGCTTCCCTGCTTCGAATTCAGACGCGTGATTCTAGCCTTTATAATCCCATCGAAGCTGCTGTGCTGTTGTCAGTCGAGAGGACTCCTGTTTTCATCTGTCCACATGCCAGACACTTCAGAAATGCCACCGATTTGTGATGTTCTTACTGCGGAGCTCTTTCTTTCCGCCTGTCACGCTGGGGCTTTGCAACGAGGTGGCTGCGTGTGTTACCGTCGGCTTGACACGGGCACTGGTTCCAGTTTAACCCTGCCGCGGTGATTAGCTCATCCAGGGAAGATCACCTCAGAGGACAGACTGGTTTATCCCTGTAATTTGGAGGATCTTCGCTGTTCTGGTTATCACCGTGAACAGACAAAAATCTTTACGTGCAAAAATTCAAAATGTGTAGAAAACTGGTTTATAAATGACTGTTTCCCACAGGAAGCACTGAGGACCATCATGGGTCTTGCTAAGCATCCACAAGTGTAAATAAATAGTAAAATTTGCTTTGTACTTGGAGGTATCCTAACTTCTTGTATTAATAGAATGAGTTTTACTAAGTGCCCCTGTGCAAGACTTACCGAAACTAATTTTATCTGCCAAGCAAATGCGGAAATACAGGAGATTGTCTTTAAAAAAATCATCATTTTAACTAATAGAAAGACTTAGTTCAGGTTTGCAAGAGAATACCTTCCTTCCCACCCCTCCCAAATGAAACTCTGTAGATCTAAAAATATCTGGGCACTGCTTTTGTCTGCCTAAATTCTCCTTAGAGCTTTGTGCCTACTGTTTCATTTTCCATCAAACATCTTTGGATTCCTGGGAGCCTGCGAGTGAGATGCAGCGGGGATAGGGAGTGGGGCGCGCTTTGGCCACGCGGCTAGAGGTGGTGGTGTCGCTGTAGGAAGCATCCACCTGATGTGGAGAGCATCCCTTTCCAGAGCTGAGGGATCTTCAGGCCAGAAATCGACTCAGAGATCTTTTAAAGTGGTTATCGAAGGACACAGTCTGAGGTGAGACCTCATTTTGGAAAAAAAAGCTCGGAGCATGTGGTGAAAAGTTTAACTTTTTCAATTTAGTAGACTTTTAGTTGGAGTAGGGTGTTTTTAATGGGAGTCATGTCAAGGCATGTTTTATCAATTTATTTATAGAAATCCTTACAGTCTCTATAAATGAGAAAGATGAGAGTGACGGCTTATTATTTGGAGGCTGGAGAGCTGGAATCAGAAGTCACAATCTGGATCCTCTACTAAGGCTTTTGCATTCGGGGTTGTGGCGAAGGAGGAGAGCGATTCTCCTGCCTTGCGTTTACGTCCGGGTGGAAGTGGGTGACAGTGCCGCGGTGGGGTGGGAGTTGCACCACCCCAGGAGCAAGCTACGTGCTCCCAGCAGCGGTTTTCAGATTCATGGAAAACTCGCTCCCTCGTTTTCATCTCGGTATTCGAAAAGTTTATTTTAAGTGGCCAGTTCCTGGTCGTCGTCTTTCCACTTGGATCCAGGTCTTTCCTCTCTCTCAGCCATCTCTCCATCTGCATGTTTTAACTCCCCCAGCTGCCTCTCTCGTCTCTTGTGCCATTTTTTTCAGCTCTCTTGGCTTCTCTCGTCTCTTTGCCTGCTGTGTATTTTAACTCCCAGGGCCGCCTTCTCTGCTCTCCAAGTAATTCAATGTTACCTCCCACTGCTGAGCTCCGCAGCGCGCCATTCTTTCCCCATGTTTCATGCATTTCCTGCTGCTTGGACGCTCTGTTGAAGCAGCTAACATATAGAATCAATGTTTATTTTGAGACTACATATGCCATGCGGGGAACACGGTGTCAGTTATTTTGTGCAGATGTATTCTCATTTAAGTTTTATAAATAATATCTGTGTTGGCAACTTTAATATGGAAAAATATTGGTTTCACATCGTCTACAAGACGAAGACGACTCATCTATGGGACGTAGCTGACTTTGGAAACTTCGTTAGTACCTTCATGTCACGGATGTGTGGGGATGACTACAGCCCCTGCACGAAGTTGGACTCCTAGTCCCTCAGACATTTCCCTTTATTCAGATGCTTCTGTGAATCCCTTTATCTGGTAGTCATGATGAAATCTGGGAAATGGTGCAGGTTTCTCCCAGAAAGCACCAGTTACACAGCCATCATACAAGACTTCTCCAGAGTAGTCTTTGTCCAACTCCCAACTCCTTGCAGAGTTGAAGCCACAGCTGGTCTATGTGTAGACCGCCCAGGTCTGTGTGTAAGCGCAACCTCAGGTTCCCCCATAGGCTGAGCTCTGTGGTGGGAGACCCCAAATACAGTGGTTCACGTGGTGGACAAGCAGACCACGGCTCAGTCCACCAGCAATGTCTGCTGTGGACACTGTGAGCTAATAGCTGGCAGTGGAGATTGAAGAATGGAAGAACATAAGCTCTTTTTATCTCCTTCTCCTAAAATCTCTTCTCTGCCTCACAGTACAAGCCACCTCAGAGGGTCTGAAGTGCAGCAGGTCTGAGGATGGGCTCCAAGAGCTCATGTATGCCAGGCTAGACAAGAGGAGACCCTGGAGCTGACTGTGCAGTGTTTATGGAGGAGAGACGAAGGTGGAACTGTGGGCAACAGGCAAGAGCTGAGAGAGAAGTGGGGAGCAGAATAGTTGTGTCCATGAAAGAGGAGTGTACTCTTTCTTCATCTCCACACCATCCTGATCTTGTGGTAGAGCTGCCCCAGCATGTCAGCGTCCTCATGCAGCAGTTGTCAGCGCTGTTTTCCTGGAAAGCTCATCACATTAGGACACTCCCAAGCTGGATCAACATTACAGAGCTGCTCTGGCTTAGCTAAGTCAGTCTAACCATGAAAAATTGATTCTCTTGATGGATAGTTGGTGCTCAGGCCATGGTTTTGTGGTGCTGGAAGGGAGTTTTCTTCAGCTTGAACCATGTTTTTTCACTACAGAAATGCATGTGAGGTAGGAGGCCCTCCTGGACCTCGTGTTCATGACCTTTTGCTGGAGATACTCTCCTTCTGACAGCGTGTGCAGAACGTTTCCTACAGGGGCTTTTCCTCCCCTGAAGTGCAAAGTCTCTCCGTCCAGCTAAATCCTTGCCGAAGTTTGTTTAAACTCAACAGCTGCCAGCAGTGACACCTTAAACTGCTGTGGCTGTTTCCAGAGTAAACATTGAAACTGCTCCTTTAATTATGTCAATCAAGCACAAAAATCCCCCAACCTTATTCTGTTTGCATCTGCTGTGTCCTCTGGAGGGGGCACTGGGTCTATAGCCAAGAGCAGGAGATGCTCCTTGGCGAGGACAGTGGTGGCCTGGCTGGATAGGACAGCAGACAGAGCTACTGCTCGCTGGAAGAGCTCAGGTTTCCCAAAATGAGTGAGAAGAGCTCAGAAACACCCTCTGCAGATAGCAGAGAGACCTGACGGGCTGTCTGGAGCAGAGACGTGGTACAGTGCCGGCTCTGGGTGGTCCTCGGCAGAACTGGGATCTGGGGTGGGACAGCCACCCACCCAAAGCTGGCTTGCACAGCAGAGGGGTGTTTCGAGCCCTGGGCTCTGAGGAGCCTGGGACGCCTCGGGATAGCCAGAGCTTCAGCCTCCAGCGCTTTTCTTACCCCGCCGGCATCCTCGACGTCTTGCGATGTATGTATTAGCTTTGAACCTGTTTATACCAAACGCTACAGAAACCCCACAGAATCTGTCAGCTGGGAGACTTTGGTTAACTCCTGTCATATTTAGTTTAGCATCTGACACCTCCTTCTAGACAAATACAGCTCTGGTTCACTGAACCTGATAACTCCTTTTTAGTACAGCAACTGACTTCCATATGGAATAAATTACAGTACCTCTTGAAAAACGCCAGAGGCAGCTGCCAAATTATGCAAAATTTAAACCACTAATGAACAATGTGATGAAAGTTGAATGAAGGTGTATTTACAAGATCTACAACACACTGTCTCTGCGGAGCAGATGTACTGTCTGTACAAGTATGCGTGTGTCTGTGTATATACCTACGTACATGCACACTCATGCATATTGAAATGTTATCCGTAAGGTCTAGCTGGTTTAGGTATATCCGTTAACAGTAGGCGCTACCTAGGATCAGTAAGCCAGAAGCTCCTCGGCGTGTTATTGCCTTTTCTCTGTCTGCTGGGCAAATTTTATGAAAGCAAATTGCAGGAAGAACAGGCATTTGGGGGTAAAGAAACAAATCTTTAAAAAAAAAAAAAAAAAAGAAAAAAAGAGAAAGAAGGAGGGAAGTATTGCAAAAACGCATGTTCTTTGCCACCCAAAGGTCGATGTAGAAACGTGGATCACTTATACTAGCGAGGCAGAGCATTGGTGCCAAAAATTTGCCTTATGAAATGGTAACAGTAAAAGATGCGTATTCTGGTCTTCCTGCAGATTTCCAATGTGAGACCTTCTCTTGGTGCAAACTTTTCAATCCCACCTGAGCGCCAAGGTTTAGTTCACCGGAGCCTGGCCGTCCTGTCCTGTGTACACGGTGACAGTCTGTCCATCTGCTGTTCTCGCAGGAGAACAGCTCCCAGTACTTCTGCAGAATTACTGGTAGGGTAAGATGCTGCTTGCCCTCGTGACTATAGCAGTCTGCTTCAGAAGATGCCAATGGCAAAGTTGGGCTGTCAGGAGGATTAAAAGTCCAGACTTCCCCTGATCAAACCCCTTGGCAGAGTGCACAGGACAGTGTTGTAAACTAATTCACTTTTCAACAAATGGATATTAATTTTATTTATTTTTAATCTGCTATAATACTCTGTAATTAAACCCTCTGGAAACATCTAATCATTCACTTCCGATGGGGGGCTAATGGGTGAAAAGAGGGGTTTTGATTGCTTTTGACAGCTAACAAAATGCAGCAAGCAATATTTAACTTAATATTCTTCTGAGATCTGTGTCGAGAGCAAAGATCTTAGGGACAGAAGAAAAGTGGACCTCTCAACTAATTATGAGTCATTTATTCTGAACCACACAAATTTTAGAATCTGAATCCCAATTAAGACATTACACTACATGTGTTAATTAGTCCCCTCTCCTTTTTAAATCAAGCCATAACTCTTCTTAATTAGGAGGTTAGCCATGGTAATTTGAACTGGCCTGAGTTTGAAGCGCTCCTGGAAATCACACCTGGGGGCTGTACCGGGGATCATTTTAAATTGGTTGAGTTTTTACTTGGGTGATTACAAGGTCCCCAACAGGGCAGTAATTAAAGAGGGTGCAGCTTCCAAATTAAGGTGTCAGGGGTGGTATAAGCAGTGATGTCTTGGTTCTAAACTGTGCTCCGGGGATGCTGGTCATATGATTTTCTCAGCGAGGGCTCTCATGGATCATGACAGCTGAAGCAGGAGACTAAATCAGTTCCAGCAGTAGCCCCTCTGCATCCCAGGGACTAGTTATCACAGCTCATTGATGGCAATTCTTGAACGTTGCATTTGTTAAAGAGCGTGGAGCAAGGTAACCTGCTTTCCTGATTCGGACAAAACATTTGTGGACTTCTGCAGGAGTCTTTTAGGTTATATTGTGCTCTGTGCAAAACAAAGTAGCTAAATATTGGAGAACAGAAGCTTAGCTTTCACAGCACAAATTGATAGGATCAACTCCGTCTCAATAGCTTATTAGTGAGGAGCTGAGATATTGGAGGAGTTAAGGCTCTGGATCTTGTTTTCCTTCCCCACTTCCCCCAAACCTTCTCAAGATGAAGACAGCTTTTAGCAAGCTTTGCTAGCAAAGGGTGAAGAGTCTGAATGTTCAGACACACAGACAACGTTCAGCA